CTTCTCTTCTGTCGCCGCGGAGATTGTTCCATTCTCTCTCTCTCACTCCTACTTCCGGAAGTGCCATACGGACGTTTGCGCCGCTCACCGTTAAAATTAGCCGAGAATGCCGCCAAAATGGCAATTGGATGAGATTTTTGTCGCACTGGAATGAAACGTCTTTACTAAAATGAATGGTTTTGACTGGCTGATTTGACTAGCGCCCCACAGCAGCACGGTGTAGCTTGTCGCCACCGGAAGCCGGATCGGGGCCGCACGCCACATGCCGGGGCCACATACAGACTCCTAATCCGGGGTCTCGATCCTCGGCTCGCTGCCTGATCAGGAGAGGGAGGCTGTGGCTGTACCAGATGTCCCAGGCGGGAGAGGGGGGGGGGGAGCGTGTTTAAACCCTGGACTAGTCAGCAGTCGTGTGTGTTTGTGTGCGCGCTACGTGTCCCTCTCCCTTCGGCTTCGTAAAAATACCCTTGGTCGTTGTGGGGCTGGGCTGGTTGGTGGGCATTACACAATTGCCTCCGTCCTTGGGGCGGGGCCGGCGCGGCCGGGGCGGGGGCGCGAAGGGAGGCGGGCCGGGGCGGGCCAGCTGGCTGGCGGGCTGGCCGCCTGACTGGCTTTCGGCTGACTGGCCGCTGGCTTGTGGTTCGCGACGGACTCGACTGACTTGCCATCACACGGCGCTCTGGTCCGCTGCTAGACTTGCCCCGCCCCGCCCCGCGCGCCCGCTCGGTTTGAAAATAGGCGCCCGCGACCCGTTTTTGCCGCGCTGCTCGCAAAAAGAACGGCGCGAAATTTTTAAAACCGCGTGTTTTGCATATTACACCGTTTTGTACCAAACGTGCGGCGGCGGCCATTTGTGCTGTCCGAGCGAGCTGTCGACGGAACTCGCCGGAGCACATGATTGCTCATCTGTTTTCTATTTGCTCCTCTCTTTTTGTCCTGCTCGCGCGGGCCGGCCGGGCGGACTGCAGCAGCGCAGCGCTCTCACGTGTGGATGAATCCGTCGCGTCGATAAGCGAAACGGCCCTCAGCGACCATCAATAATTATGTGTGTGTGTGTGTGTGTGTGTGTGTGTGCGTGTGTGTGTGCGTGTGCGTGAGTGCGGCGCCCATGGCTGCAGCAGTTTGTCAACACACTTGCCGCCCCATGGGCCCCTCTGGGCCGGACGCACTGTACGGCTCTGGCGCGAGCATTCACTGACTCAGCGCGCGCCGCCGCCCCGCAGCCCGCGGCCCTGCCCGGGCAGTTCGACGGCCACCTGACCCTGACGGGGAAAGGGGGGGGGGCAGTGCCTCGCCGGCAGTGCATGCTAACCAGCCTGGAGTTTGGACGCGAGGCGAGCAGCACGGACCACGCGCGCACACACATTTCGTACGCCCGAATGAACTACAACAGAGCGCGCCTCTGAAAACACGACGAGTATGTATTGGACGTGTCACAACGGCGCAGCAGCAGACAATGTTCGGGCCAAAAGCGCGGCGTAAACTCGTAAATTCCGCTTTTGTCGACCGAGTTTGCTCCGCGACATTATGTCAGCAAGTGTGCGCCATTGTGCTGACGCCCCGCCGCGCCAGACGTGGTGGTCTCGTCACACGGACGAAAAATAATACGTACTAAGCTGTAAACCAACCGCCATATGGAGAACTAATTACTTAGCTATGTGGCCACAAATTAGTGCTAGTTTTAACCTCGTGCAGCCGTGCTTTTAGTCTCCGCTGGTTCGTCGCGTTGCCTCGTCTTGGGCCGGGCGCAGATCCCCCAATATTATGAGCCCCCACCCTCCTCTCCACCCCAACCGAACCGGACTTCGAGTCCTTTTTTGAGTGACATTTTTGCGGGTTGGTCGTGCGGCCGGCTCTGCTGCGAGGGGCTGCGGGGCTTCCATCAGTGTGCCGACCACCTAAGTGCTGCCGCTGCTGCTCTTGGTTTTTCATTTTCATTTATTGTTAGTATCTACGTTTACATTTTTTTGCAGCTGTTGGCTATGTATAGACTTGGAGCACGGCGCCAAGGGGCCACTTTTGTGTTGTGGTTTAGAATGGAAACGTTTCCGATAGGGCAACCACCAAAGCCATTTCCCCCACCGAGCGAGAAAAATGATAAGCAGCCATAACCATAGATAGATAGTACTGTTAAGTCGTGGCTGCTTTAACAGTATGGGAACACTCACCTTTGTTGGCACGACCAAATTTGGAATTTTACTCGCAGTGACATTGCGGGTAATCCTTCTTATTCTGCTTATCCTGTCCCGGATTCAAGGCGTGCGGGCTGGTTTGTCTAGGCTTGTCTACCGTCTCTCGCCATGCCATGGTGCCCTACGGCCCCGTGCGAGTATGCAACCCGCCCGTCCGGTATATAGTGTAACCAGACGAAACGGACGGCGCAGAGATCACCGATCCTGTACGAGTGTTGGCTATGAGTGTAATTCCTAAAGTAATCACACCGTGGTTGTTGCAGTTGCGGTTG